CGTGTCTCAACACTGGACTGAGCAAATGGGTACCTGATCTCTTGATAGGGTTACTGGTCCAAGTGGCAAAAGCATATCCTGTGTGTGTTAATTGCCATCTAGTCACCGCTGGTTCATGGCGACCCTTTGAATCAATGCCTTCCAAAATGTCCTATTGTCAACAGCCTTGCTCAGGTCTTGCAAACGAAGGGCTGCAGCTTCCTTTATTGAGCCAATCCATCCTGGCAAACCACAAACATCGAGCTCTGAAAGCCAGTCAGCTCCAGGGATGAACCAGTACACACTTTGGCTAGTAATAATGCTCCCCTGTCACAGGCCACCGGTGATCAACCCGATCCATCAGATATGGTCCTGGCTGTTCCTCTGACTGTCAAGATCCATACTAGCTCTACCGTTTTTGAAATCAAAACGTGCTCTGAGATACTAAGCAGCCATGTCTCTGCTCATGGTTCTTTTTCAAACTGTCTTCGTACTCTCTTTTAGTAACTGGCTGCAAATGGGTTTTTTCCTGTCATTTCAGATAGACCTGTTCTAGTAACCAGCTGCTAGTGGGATTTATTTACCTGTTCATATAAACCCTCTTGAGTCCAGTTAACAAAGCGTGGTTGAGCTGTTTTTGAGGGAAACTGCTTTCTTTCATTCTCTAGCCCATCACTGCACTTCTCAATCGCTCTGGTGTGCTGTTTAAAAAGTCCATAGTGTTCCCTACAATGCCACTTTTTTCCTGCCCCTTTTCGCCACACGATCTTCTACAGACTTTTTTTTAATGTTCAGAGTTGAGTGCTACAATGCTAAACCAATATAGAGAAGAAGAAGAAGAGACTGGATTTCTACCCCACCCTTCACTCGGAGTCTCAGAGTGGCTTACAAACTCCTTTCCCTTTCCCTTCCCACAACAGATACCCTGTGAGGTAGATGGGGCTGAGAGAGCTCTTTCAAGAACAGCTCTGACAGAGCTATGGCTTGCCCAAGGTCATCCAGCAACTGCAAGTGGAGGAGTGGGGAATCAAACCTGGTTCTCCCAGATTAGAGTCTGCGCACTGTACTACTACACCAAACTGGCTCTCTGGCATTTCAGTGTTATAGTGACTATTGAGATGCCTTGACTCCATTGATTTCATTGTGTTTGGTGTAGTGGTTAAGTGCGCGGACTCTAATCTGGGAGAACCGGGTTGGATTCCCCACTCCTCCACTTGCACCTGCTGATGTGACCTTGGGTCAGTCACAAGCTCTGGCACAGCTGTCCTTGAAAAAGAGCAGTTTGTGTCAGAGTTCTCTCAGCCCCACCCACCTCACAGGGTGTCTGTTGTGGGGAGGGGAAGGGAAAGGAGTTTGTAAGCCGCTCTGAGACTCCGAGTGAAGGGCGGGGTATAAATCCAATCTCTTCTTCTTCTTCTTCAATGGTCCTGCTATAGCACTGAAGTACTATATTGGTTTAGCGCTATAGCACTCAACTTATATTTTTTTAAAAAGATCAAGGAAGATCACAAGGTGAAAAAGCGGCACTGTTTGAAATTACTATAGTGCTTCAGAGATGGATCATTAACAGAAAGAAATTCACTGTATGAAACCCTGTATCGCTTTACTCGAAATCGGGCCAACAACGAATAACATCCGGTTTAGAATGGTAATGTAAAAAGGACCGATATCTGCTCATTTTTCCTCTTCCTAGTCTGAATTGGAATGGGAGCAAGACTTCACCGGCTTCTAGTATAATGAACCGGTCCTCTCTTCTGAATAGAAAGTATCATTCCTTTTGGCCTCTCTTTTTAAATTTGGGGAAAAAAATATTGAAGGAGAAATGTCTGACCAATAGAAGATCAGAAACTTGTAATGTAGACATGCATAATCTGCTTCTACTGGATTCCAAAACCATTCCAGGATTTGATTTCACTGGCCGAGGCCCTTTGGAAATTCCACACTGGAATTTCCTACCGCAAACTGTTATTGTTAAGAACTCCACACTTACTCCATATTTACACACTGCTGTCAATGATTTTAGAAACCGGCCCTGGTTTCCCCCCAAAGTTAATCTGGCTATTTCTCAGTGGTTTGAGAAAGAAAGAAAGACGGTCAAGAAATACTTGTTGGTGAGAGCCCAAACATATTTTTAAGACCACAATTAATGCTTATTCTGTGTATCTTGTTGCTTGCTACAACCTTGTACAGCTGCCATTGTAACAAACCAAAGCCTCGAGAGACCTTTTTTCCTGGGGGCAAAGGAAGTGATCGAAACGTAGTTTAAAAAAAGCAAAAGCTTAGTTTGCAAAAGAGCCTTCCGCATGCTAAACGCCAAGCTTGTTGCTGACACATTTGGCAGCCGTCCACAAACCAGTTGAAGAGCCTGAAATACATGCAGCTCCCTTGACATCAATACCATATGCAAGATTCGAAGGGAATTGCCCACAAATGACAAGATACGCTCCTTGAATGCTGTGTAATACTATTCACTTAGCAGCAAACCCCAGGCTGAAGGACAGATCATTTAGGCAGCTTGGGCTGTTTGAATCATCAAGAAAATAGAGGAGTTTTTATAAAGCCAAGACTCCCCCCTCCTTCAGTGAACTGATTTTGCATCATACCCTGCATCAAGCTATAACTGATTTGTTTGCTTGTTTTTGCTGTCAAGTCACAGCTGACTTATGGCAACCCCCCCATGGGGTTTTCAAGGCAAGAGATGTTCAGGGGTGGCTTGCCATGTCATGACCCTGGTATTCCTTGGTGGTCTCCCATCCAAAATACTGACCAGGGCTGACCCTGCGTAGCTTCCAAGACCTGACATGATCAGCCTGGGTTGGGTTATCCAGGTGTCCGGGACCGGACGTACCTGCCAGTGTGCCAGGGTCCATGGAGATATAAGGAGTTGCAGCACCAACACCCAGAAGTGCCGTGAAGCCGGAGTCGCCCACTGGCAAAAGGTCTGGGTTGGGGCTGCGCGCTGGTAGGGTTGGCACCTGGCCGCCTGGGGTCCCACGGAGCTGCCGCCGTGGAGTGCTGCAGGGACTGGAGCCGGGGCTCCCGGGAGCCAGCAGAGCAGCGGTGGCTGCCAGGGTCCAAGTCGTCGGCTGAGCCCAGCCGCCCAGCCACAAGGCCTGCTGGCAGAGCAGTGAGGAGCCGGGGGAAGGAGGCTGGTGTGGCGCCAGGCCAGAGCGGTGTGACCGAGAGCCAGTGGAAGATGCCAACCCCACTCTGGATGAGGCAGGATGGAGGCAGGGCACAGAGCTTAAAAGGGACTGACATCTTTAGCCGATGAGGGGAGAGCACGAGGTGATAGACAGGAAGGAGAGCCACTGGGAAAGGGGGAGGAGGTGGGGGAACAAGGTCTGGGAGAATAAAAGGAGGCCAGTAAACTGGGGTTGAGGAGGAGGAAACAGGAGAGTCTGAACTGGCCTCAGCAGAGAAAGAGAGATCGGAGAGTCCAGAGAGTGCCTATTGCCGTCTGGCCAAGGCCTTTCATCTGTGCACTGAGACCCCAGCAGCCCCTTTGGAGATTCCCAGAGTCACGGTGGAAGGAGGGGTTCCTGCGGGGGGTGCAAGGGCAGCCCGACACCAGGTCAAGGCAATTGCTTTGTTAAGGCTTAAGAAAGATTAAAGTCCTATTGGCTAGTATCTTGCCAGGGAAGAGTTTTAGGATTGGATGAGGCTTGGCTCATGTGCAGAGCAATCAGGGTAGGTTTCCATTACACCGTCAGTTACACTCAGTTACAGCTTTGGAACAGGGATATGAATACTCTGATTTTTTTTTTTAAAAAAATGAGCAAAATGCCACGCCCACTCAGATTCCATGTTGATGAAATCTGACGTCTTTGATTTTTAAATGAAGCTAATCTCCCCTGTATTTGTTCAGTTGATTTTGTTCTACTTCTTTTGTGTTTCATTTTGTTCTTCTACTTTGGTTGTTCCTGGTGTGCAGGAAGATTAAGCTATGCAGAGCACGGAAGCATGGTGCCAGTTTGGTGTAGTGGTTAGGAGCGCAGACTCTAATCTGGGAGAACCGGGTTTGATTCCCCACTTCTCCACATGCAGCCAACTGGGTGACCTTGGGTCCGACACAAGTTCCCTCAGAGCTGTTCTCTCAAAAGCAGTACTCTCAAGAACTCTCTCAGGCCCACCTACTTCACAGGATGTCTGTTGTGGGGAGGGGAAGGGAAAGGAGACTGTAAACTGCTCTGAGATTCCTTCGGGTAGTGAAGGCTGGGGTGTAAATCCAATCTCCACCTCCTCTTCCTCTTTGTCTTCTACAGATAATCTAGCTCCGTAGCTTATGGTGTTCCTGAGATTTCACCATACATTGCCCCCATATTTTCATACCCATCTTTACAGCTGTAAGAGCCAGAAATAATCTTCTGAATAGGGCCGAATCAAATGTGTGTGCATGTATGTGTGAATGGCTCTCTTTTTTTTTGAACACTTTAAAAATCTGCAAAACCAGATTCTCTCAAGATTTTACACCGAGCTGCAGGAGAAGCCAAGCCAGCCCCAGGATTGGGCTGGCTTTAAAAAAACAAAACAAAACTGGTGTTTTCCTTCTTGGTTCTATTGGACCCAAAAAATTCGGGATCTCTGAAAAATCTCAGATCCGAATACTGTGCCAGTATTGGGATTCGAGATTTTTTGCCTGTCCCAGGCAGAAGTCTTTCACATCACCTACTGCCTGATCTGTTCAGCTGGAGATGCCAGGGACTGAAACTGGGACCTTCTGCATGCTAAGCAGATGCTCTGCCGCTGAGCCACAGACCGTCACCTAAGGCAAAAGTTTTAATAATGCCAAAAATTCTCAGAATGCTAAATTCTGTACCCAATACGCACTTGCATGGTATGACTAGGCTCTACACAGTCACCTGCTCATGGAAGATGCATATTCGGGTAGTCTGTGTAACTGAAGAGGATATGGTTTCAAATGCCAAAATGATTATGACTGCACTGGCCGAGTAATATACATTGTCTTTCTAGCATGCCCAGAAGTATTCTTTGATTACAGCCAATAAAACGGCACTTACCAAGCGTTGGATCGTACTCCCAGATGAACCGCTTGGTTAAGAAGCGCACAACGAGAGCTGCAGGAAACAGAAGGAAAAAATTCAGATGAAGCTGTGACAATAACATCTCATTTGCTTTAGAGAGGAATGATAGTTCATTGAGGCACATCTAGAAATGGCAGTTGTTGTTTTTATGAGGTAAAAGCAGATAAAAAAAATTAAAAACTCTGCAGATAATTTAAAGGCAAATTTAGACTAATTCAAATACCCTACCGGACGTGTTGACAATACAGGTTGAGGGGATCCCACATGGACTTCAGTATATGGTAAACTGGTCATGTGATTGTTTCCCCATGTGCCCCAAGTTCACCGCTCACACCCAAGTGAACCTTTATTTATTTATACCTGGGATTTTTTCGGGGATTTTTTTGTTTTGTTTTCTTGAGAAAACCCCGATACATTTGGGATAAAAGCCACATTTAAATATATATACAAACCCAGAATATCACAATTTGATTTTACAGTTCATTTGTGAGACTAAAAAACCCCAACACTTTAAATGTTGATGAATTCTAAGGCGATGATGCTAAATACTAAATTGCCAAACTCAGTAAATCTCGATCTGTTTTCTCAATACAAAACTGGAAAAAAAAAATCTAACTCTAGCAGTAACCATTAAGAAGGATCCTGTATATTTTGGGGGTGGGGTGGGGGGTGGGAATATAAAATTCAGAATTTTGCTTGGAAATTGAATCCCCCCAGCCCCCCCATTCAAACCACTGAGAACTCATTAAAAACCTCAATCACGTTTGGAAGCAGCAGCACATGCTGTAACGCTAAGGGGCAGGTGTAACTTGCAGCCATAGGCCCAGCTCTATGAAGTCCATGAAGAATTTTTTGGCATAATACATCACGGTTGTTTTGCTCCCTTTCACCCTCCAGGCAGAGCCTGGAGATCTCCCAAAACCACAACTGATCTTCAAACTACAGAGATCAGTTTCCCTGAAGAAAATGGCTGCTCTGGAGAGTAGGGGTTGTAGCATTATTCCTCACAGAGGTCCCCCCTTCCTCAACCCCCAGACTCCCAGATGTCCAGGAGTTTCCTAATGTTGAGCTGGCAACCCTACATTTAGTAATCCTTCTCATAACTTTCTGTGGTAGGAATGTCTTACTATCCAGACAAGTCGAAGTCCTATAAGGTAGATAAATGATTGGAATATTCCCCCTTGACCTACATCTTCCCCTCTAGGATTCCTTCAACAGGCTGATTTCTGCCTCCTTCAGTTTTCCTTCTCTCCTCATAAGAACATAAGAGAGAAGCCAATGCTGGATCAGGCCAGTGGCCCATCCAGTCCAACACTCTGGGTGCATTCAGACGCGGCGTTTGCAACAGTATAGGTGCCGGTTGCAATCGGTGTACTTACCGACGTTCACACGTAGAACATCTGCCTTCTGTCCCTAACCATTGCAAAGCCCTTTAAACCGTTGTACTCTGCCACTAGGTCCCCAAGTGGTGGCATCCTGAGTACAACGGTTGTAATCGCTGTACCCCTCCGTCTGATCGCTCTCCAACGTACAGCCACTTCCGTCCGGAAGCCTGAGGCTTCCGATTTCCCCCCGCCATTTTTTTTAAAAAGTATGCGATGTGCGCTTGGGCGAAGCTTCGGCCCAGCGTTTGTTTTTTTAAAAAAAGAAAAGGCCCTTAGTTGAACGTTTAGGAGGAGTCTGGGACTTCAGGGAGGCCAGTTTGGGCTTTAAACTTTAAAGGTAAGTCTCTCTCTGTTGCACTTTATATTGACTGACCGGTTACTGATCAGCAGGGAGCAGCTGCGAGCAGGTGGGGAGGGCCGATCTTTATTATTGGTATTTTATTGGCGTTCCTTGCGGTCAGAGGGCGTCGCTGGAGGCAGCCGGGCTGGAGACCGGTCCTTCTCTCTGGGTCTGGGAGTGGGAAAGAGGGCGGGGAGCACTTTCATTGGTGTGTTTCCAGCACTGCGGGGGTTAAAGCGACGGAGCTGTTTGCTGGAGAGGCCGAGCGAGCGGGGGCGGGGGGGCGGAGAAAAGGCTCTTCTGCTTGGCCGGGGCGGGAAAGATTCTGAATGGACGGAGAGAGGAAACGCTTCAGACCTGCAGCGGCAGGGGGAAGTCTTGCAGTCGGATCCGGGGAAGGTTTACTTGCGAGTAAGTCATGCGCGGGGGGGGATGAGGCCTTTGATCGTGGAAGAAAAGAGCAACGCGGCTGCTGGCATCGGGGTTTTCTCCTCTGTAAATGAGGGCTTTGGGGGGGTGTTTAAACTTTACCTTTAAACTTTAAATGTAATACGGGGTGTTTTGAGCATGCACAAAGATCGCCATTCTGTGGATGGCTGCCTATGCGCATGCTCAAACTGAGTTTAAAAAAAAACAACGCCAACGCCTGCAGCATGTGAACGGGCATACAGCGATGGGCTCCGCTGTGAGGGAGGTAAGTGTGATCGCATTTCAGCCGGCATAAACTGCACCGGTTCCAACTGGTACAGTTTATGCCGGCTGAAACACCCCGTCTGAACGCACCCTCTGTGTCACACAGTGGCCAAAACCCAGGTGCCATCAGGAGGTCCACCAGTGGTGCCAGGACACTAGAAGCCCTCCCACTGTTGCCCCCCCCCAAGCACCAAGAATACAGTGCATCACCTGCCCCAGACCGAGAGTTCCTATCTATATCTTGTGGCTAATAGCCACTGATGGATCTCTGCTCCATATGTTTATCCAATTCCCTCTTGAAGCCGTCCATGCTTGTAGCCGCCGCCACCTCCTGTGACAGTGAATTTCATATGTTAATTCCTCCTCTAACTGACTCAGTTGTTCTCAGCATTATGGGGTAATGCACATGGCTCAACCTACATCAGACCCCTGGGAGGGGGTTTGCTTTTTAAGATGTAAAAAAATAGATTTTCCTGCACACTCGGGATAAGCAGCAAACCATACACCTTGGTGTGCCTTCACCATCCCACTGTTCTTGGCTATGACCCTCACTGTTTGGAGGGATTATATTGCGATCTGTGTGTGGGGAGGGGGGGGCAGAGAAGGGCTCAAGCTGAGAAAATGCTGGCTTTCCTATATTCATAACAGAGATGAGATTGGAACTAGAGTTTAATCACACAGCTGCTACGCCACAGACAGCTTTGTGTAAATGACCTCCGCAGCCAGTCCTGTGGCCTCCTGTGACACCACAGAGGTGCATTGGATGAATAATGCTCTCCTGATTGTTTACTGCTGTGCCAGATCAAACGTTTCAAGGTACAGAAATTGCCCAGGTATTAATACACACGAACCTTGACAGCTGCTTTACTTTCAGTGCATGCCCACCCATTAACCCTATTTGGAAAGCACATTTATGCTGCAGAACCTTTGCTTGAGTTATGGCCTTATGACACAGTCAGGCAGTTCCCTTAAAAATAAAGGTGACTTGCTTGCGATTCTGCGTATTAGGAGATACTAGTGGAAAGCCTGTGAGGACTCAGTCAGGAGGGAATCTCATTTCCCAACTCCCTCTTGCCTTTCCTCTTTGCCTTCTCTGGCAGTGTCTTGCAGCCCCTTCCCTTCCCTTCTCTCCCCCACACACACCCACCTGCCTACCTAGCCTTTTCTATTTCTTTCGATGGCATCTTCTGCCCCCCTCCCTGACCCATGTGTTACTCTTTCCTTCCCACAGCTTCACCTTTCCATTTATATACGTATTTTGCTCCTCTTTCCATCCAGCTTCACCTTCCCTTCCCTCTATTTTTTTTACCTTTTTTAGTATCTCCCTACCTTGCACTGATGCAAACCGAGGCTTGGAATCCTTACCATTTGTTGGGGGGTTGCCTAGCAACACCCAAAATGGCTGCCGAGATCCCACCACAAAGTCTTGTGAGATTTCAGTGGCATTCTTTTGTTATAGAAACAGACATTGTTTCTTCAGTGAGCAGTTTTATATTTCATATTTTTCATTTCACATTTTTCAGAACACTTGGGGCTTCTCCCGGGCTAGTTGAAAAATACATAGTGTGGATTTTTCGCTCAGCACCCTGAGGCTATTGTTCAGAATTATACTGTTTGCTAAGAACACTGGATGTAGGCAGAACATCTGCTCCCTGCTTCGTTCCTAAATGGCAGGCAGAAATGCACTACTTGGCTTAAGTTACTCGACTACATTTCCCCGGCAGATTTCCCTAAATCGCATTTGCATCCCCTTCCATCGGTGGTTCAAGAGATTATACCTACTGTATTGAAGGAAGATGGACCAAATTTCTGACTGCATATTGACAATAATTCACAACTGTGGTTAATTAATTTTTTAAAATGTACACCTTTGCTTTCTGATTTTGGCTGGAACCAAAGGAAGAACAAACAAACTCCCTTTATTGCACAAACTGTCCATCCGTCAGCAGGATGAGGTATAAAATCCCTGAGAACATCTGCTTTGTGACAGATAAATGGATCGGAAGCCTGGAGGACTTCAGGTAAACACTCTTGACATCAGAATTCTCTTTGCCACAAACATCCCAAAATGCTGTGGTTTCCGGCGGCCAGGGGCTCCGTGTGTATTGACCGAGAATTACAATACGGCCGACTTACAATGAGAGAGGACTCGAAAGGGCAGGAACAGGATTTCGGTACGGCGTCACTATTATGACCCTTTCATTCATCTCATCTCCCAAATGGGACAGCTGGCAAATTTTACTGTATCTCTGAAGAGTGTGCATTGAAAATCTGTCTAAAAGGATTTCGGAAGGCAGCTGCTTCCATTTGTACGGCTGGGCCACTTCCTCTCAAGCTTCCTGGGCTTGTAGGAATCTAAATGAAGACTAGATAAACATGTGTCGGACATATGGCTTTTTTGGAACGACACACACAACCATGTTCGATGCGGAAGACCCCTTCCTCTGTTCAACGTTCATGTGATAAAATAAAAAAAATTGTGTTATTTATTTATAGTTTCCAGTTATTTAATAATTTCCAGTTACAGACAGTGGGCTAAATCCAGAAGGGTAGCCACATTAGTCCAGAGCAACAGAATGAAAGAGGAGTCCGGTGGCACCATGAAAGTTAACAAA